TGCGCGCATGCGCAAACTCTGGCCCTGTGCAGCGCAACTACAGACATAAATACGTAGACGCCCTACGCGCTGAATCGTACTCGACGTCACCGCCATTTTAAATGTAGCAAAAGTGAAGCGATAAGAGCTTCATGTGCTGCGTGGAATTGTACCAACCGGTTTACAGCACAAACCAGATGTAATGGTGTTACCTTTCACAGGTAAGAATGAAAATATACATATGATTGTATTTCTCCATTGTATTGTCATTATTATGTCTATGACGCAAGCTGTTGCGGAAGCACGATCCGTAGTGTTATACATTACTTCCGGGTCGCACGGGCTTCCGTAACCATAGATCTATGTCCGTAACCACAGTCCCACTGTGCCGAAGCTACAGCTACTTCCGGTAGCTGCAGGAAAAATACTGTACGTCTCTGCAACTCAAAAAGGAAGAAGCGGGTAAAGATAATGGATAGATGGTTGGATGTTATAATCATAATAACCACAAATAGATGCGTAAACGCCTCATATAAAGGTTGAATTGAAAAAATTGAGCGCGGTAGGTCTACATCGCCGCCATAATGAATGTGGCGAAGTGAAGCAATCGGATAAGATGCCTCATTCATGTGCTGCCTGGAATTGTACCAACCGGTTTACAGTGCAAACCAGATCTAATGGCATTACCTTTCACAGGTAAGAGTAAACAAACAAAAAAAAATAACAGTAAGTACTTATGTAAGACTTATAATTGTATTAGAGTATTATGTTGCCACTATGAAAGTAACTACCAGTACTGTGATTGTTGTTAGTTGCTTAGCAAACTTTTTTCCTACTATATAGGTTTCCCAAAGATAAAGAGCGGAGAAAGCAATGGGAAACAGCTGTCAGAAGGAAAGGGGTTTCTGCTAGTCCATCATCCATGCTCTGCAGTGATCATTTTAGACCAGAGAACTTTGACAGGACGGGTCAGACAGTCAGGCTCAGAGCTGGAGTTGTTCCTTCAGTCTTTAGTTTCCCAGCTCATCTCCATGGGGTAGGTGTATCACTATGCTGTAAGGATAATATAATTCATTGCAGCGCTGTGTGGAAAATGTTTTTTTTTCCCCTTTCTGAATGTGAAGGAATCAAAGACATATTTTAACTGAGATAATTTCTATATTTTATCCTTCGTATTTTATCCTTCACTTTAGCCTGTGGCTACCAGAACCAGAAGGTTTCAGCTCTCAAAGATGGCACAAGAGACCCAGAACTCAAAGAAGGCACGGGAGACCCTGTCTCTGAGATCCAGAAGATCTCAAACCTCAAAGGCACAGGAGACCCAGACCTCAAATAAGACACAGGAGGAGACCCAGACCTCAAAGCAGGTACAGAAGACCCTGTCATTGGACTGTTCCCAGCTGGTCCAAGAGGACGAGCCCCTGCCTGTGCCCAATGTTGTGAGTAATGAGTACTAGCTACGCCTCAAACAGCTGTGAGCCTTATGACCCTGGTTATATTCAAACCTCTTGTTACCTCCACCCCCCTTACAACAACACCTACTCTCTGTCACTATTTTGGACATACTCACTCACATACATACATTGCCTGGCCAAAAAAATAAGTTTCCACCTGGATTTAATTAAGGAAATGGGTACACGCCTCTTAATGGATAATTACTGCCTGGGTGATTGTCTTTCAGCTGACAACAAGTTATTTAACCCCAACTGGTGCAATGAGTTGCTTCTCATTTCTTAAACAACCATGTTGAAAGACGCATCGAGTGGTCGTGGAAAAGATGTCAGTCTGTTTGAGAAGAGTCAAATCATTGGCATCAAGCAGAGAAAACATCTAAGGAGATTGCAGAAACTACTAAAATTGGGTTAAGAACTGTCCAACGCATTATTAAAAACTGGAAGGATAGTGGGGACCCGTCGTCTTCGAGGACGAAATGTGGCCGGAAAAAAATCCTGAATGACCGTGATCGGCGATCACTTAAACGTTTGATGAAATCAAATGGAAGAAAAACAACAGTAGCACTCAGGGCTATGTTTAATAGTGAAAGTAAGAGATTTCCACATGCACAATGTGAAGGGAACTCAAGGGTTAGCTGTGTAGCCTTAAGAAAACCACTAATCAGTGAGGCTAACTGGAAAAAGGCTTCAATTTGCTAGGGAGCATAAAGATTGGACTCTGGAGCAATGGAAGAAGGTCATATGGTCTGATGAGTCCAGATTTAACCTGTTCCAGAGTGATGGGAGCATCAGGGTAAGAAGAGAGGCTGGTGAAGGGATGCACCCATCATGACTAGTGTCTAGTCATCAATGGTGAAAAATTAATGCAACACTGGATTTTTTTTTTTCATTTACCCTTTATTTATCCAGGTAGTCTCATTGAGCCACGAGAAGTCATTTTCAAGAGAGACTTGTTTAGGGAGCAGATGGTGGGGGTTAAGGGCCTTGCTCAAGGGCCCAGAGTGGGGCGAATGAGGGTGGAGGCAGGTGTGGGTGTTTCACCTTTTCCACCCACATTTTGATGTTGACGGTACCAGGAAGTGAACCTGCGACTTTCCGATCACAAGCCCATCTTCTAACTTCTGCGCCACCACTCCCCAGAAATAGATCTTGTGACATTGCAGAAGCTCATCGAAACAATACCACAGTGAATGCATGCCGTATTCAAAGCTAAAGGCGGTCCAACAAAATATTAGTGTGTGATCTTTTTTTTTTTTTTGGTGGCGACTTTTTTTTGGCCAGATAGTGTATTTGAACATACAATGAAACATGTCTGTATGGCTACATGCACACACACAGCGTTGGTGGTACAGTTGAGGAGTGATAAGATTAAGAACGTGTAAAAATGTGGGACAGTTAAGAACACATTGTACAAATAAAGATGTGATGGACTGTAACTGAGAGATGTAATATAAACATCATTTATAATATTTTCATCCTTGTATGTACTAGGACCACTCCTATGCTCTGCCTTCATCCGATGATGATCTGAGGGCCAGACTCAGGGAAGCCTTGGCTCGGGTGGAGAGTCTGGAAAGAGAAAGGAGGAATGCGAAGGACAGAGAGAGGAGGGCAAAGAACGCTGTGAGTGGTCTTCTGGAGGATCTCAGGGTGAAGAAACTCATAAATGAAGAGTTGAAAGAGCAGCTCAATAAAAAAAGGTAAAATTAAAATACAAATGTGGACAAAATTTGAACTTAAGTGTATAATACTTACCCTTCTTTTTTAAGACTTTCTAGTGATTTTGGTGGTACTTACTAATTTGCCTGTGCTAATTGAATTTCAGATCTTCCAATAGTGTGAGACCATAGCTATCGACCTACCCACATTCGTGGTCTCGAGGACAATGTACTGGTGTACATTTCAGGTTTTGTTGTTTGCCAAATTCATAAAAAGCTATCCTGTGATGTGTGCGTGATGTGTGTTGTGGTAGTTTGGTGACTGATGCTATATCTGCATCATTTGACCAGAGCTACCACTTGCTTACTAAAAAACAAAGGAGGGCTATTCCTTCTGAGGGCACAGTAAATGTGGTCAGATCAGCTGAGCATTTCTTTCATCAGTGTCAGGGCAAGCTGTCACAAGTGGCCTTGATCTGTCAGTTTGACCGAGCTGAGATTAGTTCTGAGGATGTGTTTTCTCCAGGGGGCACATTCAAGGAACAGTATGGAATTGACAACCACCATTTTGTGCTGATGTTAGTTGTGTCAGTCTTCCACAAACCGAGGCTGCACCACATGGCCAAACCGATCACTCTTAAGTTGCAGAGTGGCAACACGCAGAAAAAAGCTGTGCTATTATTTTCCAAGGTTTTTAACTTTGTAAAACTGCTTTTATAAAGTTGTCTTATTTCCTTGTATTGGTTGACGGGCAGATCTGCCACATCCAATATGGCGTACACGCTGAAGTACTGCTGTAACGGGCCAGCCCGCTCAACGAGGCATCTACATATTTATGTCTATGATGATAACAACCATTGATAAAGGTTATCAAATATCAAACTTGCAAATAATTTCTAATAAGTTTTTGTCAGGTAAGAAGGCCATAGTCTGTGACAGTAACGAATATAAACAAACGACAAAATAAAATTCCATTTGCTGTCAAATAACCAGAATTAAGTATGACTATTATCACTTGGAGCATGCACATTAGTATATCATTTTTCCACCAGAAGTTGACTTTGATAATTTGCCTGAAATGAAAAGCTTGAACTTCTGAAGTGTACCTCAGTGTTGTGTTCTTAACAAAAGCTTCCCCTTTTTTACTTTTCACTTGTTTTTATAATTGAGATAAAACAAATGAACCCAGTCAGTGACGAGAAGAAGGGAGGATTCAAACTGAAAACTTTAAATCCGTTTGTTGTCGACGCTTTGTCCCTGACTATCATGTAGAAATATATTTCTGTAAAAATATTTCTGTTCAAAACTGATGGTGGTGTAAAGCTTTAAAAAAAAAAAAAAAAAAGAAGCATGCTGCAGATTGGAGGCGTTTAAAAGTGTAAATGAATCGCTTTAGTAGCCCTGCTGTTGCCTGTTCATAAATACGGTCAGAAATTAACTCAATTTGTCCAAATTAAATCCAGTAAATCTTGTTTTATTAAATTTCCATCAGTCATATTTTAAATAAAAAAACACAATATTGTAATTTTTTATAATTGTAATTTTTAAAGCATTTTTATATTGTGTGTTGTTATTTCAGGTTTGAATTACTGTACATTTTAACAAATAATGATTAATCCAATAGAGGGAGCTAGAGATGTTTTTATAACCTATAATCGTCTCACAAGCAGCAACATCTGAATTTTGCAGAAACCAGCAATCTGGAGAGAGAAACATAAAAGTTATGGGGTGAGGTCCAACATGTTTTTTTTTTTTTATTTATAAAAAAAAAGGGTTCTTTCACTTCACAGTTCAAACTCAGAACTGGTTATAAAACAGTGAAATTACTTCCTAATGAATAACTTGTTCTAAACAAAGTTTCAGAAATATAGGGTCTGGAAACAGCTTTAGGACCTTTTGGCTTCCGTATGAGGAATTTAAGAAAAATAGCCTTTGGTCTTTTGTGTATACCAAAAGAATCCCACTAATGCTAAAGAATGAGAGGAACTTAAGCAATCTTTTATGGTAATTGTCACAAGTGCTCAAAAAGAGCTCAATTGCTTTTAAAGACAAGAAAGAAAATCCTTTCAAGCACACCTTATGACCTCATATTGAAGCAATGATAATGTAATGATTTGTTTTGGTAGGAATGTTAAGCAGTTCGATGCAGAGATGAAAGGCAGGATTGGAGCAGCCGTATCATGAGGATGCTGTTGTTCTGTTGGATTTTACTCTGTGCAGCACTCCAGACCCGCTGTAACAGATGAAGTAGGTCCTGCATAAGCATCTCTCACGGTAAATGTCCTGTTGGGTTTGGTGCCTGTGAGAAACTATGTTGTTTACACCACCTGCTGCACAGGTTTACAACGCAGGGCTGTGCAGTTTGGACACCACATAGTGATGCAGCTGCTGTTGATCTCAGTCAAGCGCATGCAAAGGGTTCTGGGGATGAACCTTCCTGTGTGCATCATCCAGCGATATTGAACAAAAGTGATTTGGAAAAAGCAGACTCTCTCTACTTTCGTTGTATCGATCGGTTTTTCCTTCTAGGCTCCGCTTCCTAAAGCCTCATCCTGCATCCTCCCCTGCACCTCATGCCATCATCAGATTTTCTGTCCGAACTTGCATTTGTTTTTATATAAAATGTATAAAAGTTGAGTGAAGGGAAACCGGTGTCATGTTACTTTGCGGCGTGGGAAAGTTTAACATCTATCGTAAAACGTGTTTGTGTGGAATTACAAATTTTGTTGTCGGTAGATTTACGGTAGTCAAAATTCGAGTTGTGCTGATTTTGCTTCATCTTTGTGTCCGAATGTCCCTTTTCCAACATGTGAAATTAGCGTTCTGCCGTGTCAAGAGTCATAAACAATCAGTAAGAACTGATGCCCATCTGCACCACCTGTGGCGTACCTGTCAACAACTCCAGGGTCTAGCTGCTCACATACTCTGTTTTGACAAACAACATTCTCAAAGGTACAGCGTGTTCTTTTTGTCTAAGCGAGACAGGTCCTGTGGAATCACGGTGATAACAATCACAGATGATTCAACACTCAGTACAATGTGCAGATTGCCCTGGGGGAAGTGACTTTATATGGGTCTTGCCCGGCCGCCAGAGGCGTCACGTGATGACAGATGTTAGTGGAACAGGGTGGCAGTCCCTCAGGCAGGATATCCTGAGTTTTATGTTGTACCTCACTGAAACATCACCAGAGTGAGCGTTCAAGCAACAGTGACCATTAGGAGAGCTCAACTTACTGTCTGTATTTATTCAAAGATACTTTCTGGTTCTTTAAGTGGGTTTGTGTTCTCAAAGATTTTCCTATGGTAATGCAGGTAAACAGTCTTCAAACTAGCAAACCTGTCCATCAGACTCCATTGTATTTTATTACCTTCCTCTTGGGCTTTACAATGCATTACAGGACTTGGAAATACTATGCAATGTTTATTATTAGACTTTTATCTGTGATGATTTGTAGCTAAAAGAGCACAATTACAATGCATTACAACGTGAATTATCTAAAGTCACATTATGATTTGAGAACACATTTATAATCCATCTGGCATTACCATTTTGCCCATGTCTGCATGTGCTTGTGTGACCGTTAGCAAAACATCACAAATTGCTGAATGACTTTTAATGTGACCTCATTGGTTGTAAATCTACAATAGATGGATCAACAGCTGGTGATGTGCATTCCTTCGAGGAACGTTATGCCTTTATTAGTGCGTGTTTTCAGATGTGTTTGTTTTACACTACAGTACTGCATGAAGTTACTCGGGCTGTGCTAAGATTATATTATTCCATTATGAGCTCTGTTACTGCAGCGGTTATTTATGTTTCTGCACCAGTGCCACATATACTGACTCCCATAGTTTTAGGAGGTCAAGTGTTTGTGATTTATGATTTCCAGTCTCCTTGTTTCCAAACAGCAGACCAGCCCGCTGCGAAGAACCAGATCATCTGAGGACACACAGCGCCTCGGCCAGGATGGATGTATGTCTGACATGTGTGGCTGCAGTGCCAAACAAATCCCAGTTAGCAGAACGTCCCGATCCAGCGCTGGTGCCAGACTTGGAAATCGGCCAAGGCACAGGGCGAGAATCGGCTCTTCACGAAGGAGAACCAAACACCAACACACTTTACTAACCGATACAGCACATGAATCAAGTGTTTAAAGGAAATATGACTCATGTCAAAAGGGTGCTGGCTGGATGAGTCCATGCTAGTTCTGAGGTGCAGCTAGAATGCAAAGCTGGCGTAAACAAGTCTGTAGCTGACGGTGAACTTTGCACATGTGTCCTTGGGGTTTATGATGCGAGCCTAATTGTTGAGTGGTCTGTAGTCTTTGGCCAAACAGCGGGTACAAAAATGCATAACTGTCTAATGTGGAATGGACTAGAATAGTGGGGGAATGCTTGTTGTAAAAATTCCTGTCGTTTTGAAGGCAGGGCTCTACTAGCAGGGGGGTTGTAACCTCCAGCTCTGTTCAGTAGGAAGAAACAAACGGGTAGTGCACAATTAAGCAGAGATAACTTGTTTGTTCACTTTGTTGACTATAAAAAATGTTATAAACTGGTTGGAACTTGATTTTTTTTTTATTATTGTAGCTATGTTCTGCAGAGTAGCCATGAAGGCACTTGGATGATTTACTGGTTGTTTCATAAATGTTAGAATTGATTTTACTGGTTGTTTCATAAGTGTTGGAATGGATTTTACAGATTCAACAAGGATCAGAGAATTAAATAGAACGATATTAAACTACTTGTCTGTGAGCTTTTTTAAAAATAAAAAAAACATTCTGCATTGCTTTATAAGGTGCTACTGCTGTTTAATAAACTATGATTTACAGTGATTTATGTCTTTTGTTTATAGATGTACTATATATATATATATATATTACACACATATTCTGTGTTAGTTTATATATTGCTGCGATTACTTGGAACATGTTTGGTTGAGACTGCCCCCCCACACACACCTCATCCCTCTGTCCCACTCCGTCTTTCCCTTAGGCCTTTATGGTGTTTACACTGTAGACACATCTGACCTTCACCTCTTTAGGCCTCCCTCCACTGGCCTTAATACCACACACACACACGGGTGCCTGATTATGCTGTAAAATAAGGAAGAAAGGTGTGTGTGTATGGGGGTGATACTCTAGAGTAGCTACTGTTTATTGTACATACGCCGTCTAGAAAATGTAACGTTTTCAGTGATTATACTCCATGAATGGTAAATGCTTAATGAGTACTGGAAGATTTTCGGAAAAAGCTGAACCTGTGTTTTTAAAGCTAACAAACGGAAAAAAAAGACGGAACATTAGATAACTGCAAAAATTAGCAAACCAATAGCTAAAAGTATAAAAATAAAAAAAATCTAAATGCTAGCAAAAGCTAAAAGAAGCAGATCAGTAGGTAAAAGGGGCAATTGCTAGCTAATAACTAAATATAGCAAAAACCTATATAATAATAATAATAATGAATTTAATTTGTAACGCACTTTTCATTAACAAAAATCTCAAAGCCAAAATGTGTAAAACCTAAACCAACCAAAGCAATAGCTGAAAGCTGAAAAAGCTATCAAGTAGGGGTGCACCGATAAATCAGCCCTGATTTCCTTAATTTTGTGCCGATACATGAGAAACCGATTTTAACTATTTTTTTTTTAGTTTTAACAACAATTGGCTAAACTTCATTTATATTTCAGAGCACTACCTCATGGCCAGTTAAAACAAGTTTGTTTTGTTTCTAGGATATTGTTCAAGGGTATGTTTTTCAATAAAATAATATTGGAAAATTGAAGATGCATTGTGACGTTATAACACTTGACAGTGTTGCTTATAAAACAAAATCATTATCGGCAGGTCAGGCTTTTTTGAGATCGGTGATCGGCCAGAACACTGCAGTCGGTGCACCCCTACTATCAAGAGCTAAATGTAACGTAAGAAGACAACCTGCTGAAGCTTATTCCAAAGAAAACCATACTGGAATAATGTTATCAGGGACTTGAGATGTTAATTGAAAAAAACATTTGTTAATAACAGTAAACATTTTGAAAAGCATAAATGTTACAACAAAGTAAAGTCAATCATCCACAGAATGAGCTGAACATTTTTGAAATATGAACGGCTAAAACCCCACAAAGTATGCAAAAACGTTATACTGTATTCCTACAACAACAAAAAAAACATTGGACAATTAAAAAAGGATGAAGCAGTTGAACAATGAAGGGATCAATTTAATTTTATTTCTGTAATTTTAACATCGAATAGAGTGCATTCAGTATTTCAACCAGAAAAAAAAAAAAACATATGAAAGATATTTACAAACAAAAAAGTATATTATGAAGTGAAGATTTAAATAAAACGAACCAATCGAGATAATTTATGATTGCACTATCAGTGCCCTGAGATGATTTCTGTTGTGACTTGGCCACTATATAAAGAAACTGAATTAAAACGATTAAAGTACTGAATTTGTGATTTTACCAAAGTCTTGCCTCTAAAGCTCACTGCAGTCTGGTGAAACTACATATAGAAAAAAAGATGTGCTTCAGGTTAGTTTTTATAATTTAGTTTTCTACATCGCCTTAGATGGGTTTTTTTGCAACTTTTTTTTTTGCCATCTTATTTTAATTTGTAAAAAAATCTGTATGCGTCTTTTACGATTGTCTATTGTTGTCGTTGTTATCCACTGTTGTCATCACTCTTTGTTAAAATCAGGTTTCTCTTGTAAATGAGTCCCCGAGGCTCAGTGGGACTAACCTGTATAAATAAAGGTTGAGTGAATAATGTGGATCAAGCAGCAATGCATGCTGATGCGTCACAAACAACGATGAGTCCAGCTACAAGCAGGAGGTGGAACACCTGGAGAGCTGGTGTAGGAAGAACAACCTTCACATCAATGTGAAGAAGACAAAGAAGATGATCGTGGACTTCAGAAGGAACAAACACACCTACACCCCCTGAACATAGGATCTGCGATGGAAGTGGTCTACAGCTACAAGTACTTGGGTGTACTTGAATGACAACCTCAGCTGGAGCAACAACACCACCAGCCTGATCAAGAAAGCTCATCAGAGACTCTACTTCCTCAGGCGGCTGAGACGAGCTGGTCTGGAAAGCTCAGTCCTCACCTCCTTCTACAGGTGTGCAGTGGAGAGCATCCTGTGCTCCAGCATCATCAGCATGGAGGCTGCACAGATGGAGACAGGAAAGCTCTGCAGAGTGGTAGAAGTTGTGCAGGAGTCAGTATCTTCATCATCACAGACATCTACACTTCCAGATGCAGGAAGAGGGCCACCTGCATCATGAAGGACCCCACTCACCCAGCACACACACATTTTGCCCCACTCCCCGCAGACAGAAGGTTGTGGAGCATTAAGTGTAGAACCACTAGACTGAGGAACAGCTTCTACCCTGAGGCTGTTAGACTCATGAATCTCTAACCAGAAGAATCACTGTAATGACACTGTAATTGGTGATATGTGACTGATCTGTGCTGCTGATTATCCATGCTGCTGATTTCTTACCTTAAGCTGCTGTACAGACTCATGTTCAGGCTGCTATTTAATGCATCGTATATCACATCATTATTGTTTAGCTTATCTCTTAGATCCTATAGTATACAGTTTATTTTTTATACTTTTGCTATTTTTGGGTGTAACTGAGACCTTGAGTACACAGTTTTGTTCCACCTCATGTACCACATGTGATGTGAATGACAATAAAGTCACCTTGAACCTTGGTGTATGATAGTTCATTTCTGCAGGTTTCGTCATGCCTAATTAAAAGGTCTACTGACATACAGCGGGCCTAGTGTGGCGTGGTCGAAGCTCTTCTTCTTTTGGCCGTTTCTTCTTCAGCGGTCACCACAGCGAGTCATCCTCCTCCATCTCACTCTGTCCTCTGTCTTCCCTCCAACTACCTCCATGTCCTCTCTGACTGCATCCATATATCTGTCTTTTACCTGGTAGCTGCATGTCTAACATCCTTCTACCAGTATACCCACTGTCCCTCTGGACATGTCCAAACCATCTCAGTCTGGCCTCTAACTTTATCTCCCAGTTGTTCAACCTGTGCTGCACCTCTGATAATCTCATTCCTAATCTTATCCATCCTTGTCACTCAAGGAGAACCTCAACATCTTCATTTCTGCCTCTTCCAGTTCTTCTGTCTTTTTGTCTCTGTCTCCAGACTATACAACATAGATGGTCTCACCAGTGTCTTGTAAACTTTTACCTTTGCTGACACTGTTTTGTCACAAATCACTCTTGAAACTTTTCTCCATCCACTCAATCCTGCCTGGACTCTCATTTTCATCTCTTTACCACACTTCCCATTTTCCTGGACAGTGGAAGTCCTGCACCTTTGTGACCTCTGCTCCTTGTAGCCTCACTGTTCCACCTGCCTCCTTCTCATTCACACACATGCACGCTGTCTTACAACCGATGACTTTCATTCCTCTTCTTTCAAGTGCAAGTGACATGGTCGAAGCAGACCTAAAGTAAGACAGATTATTGTTATTGCTTGATTTTTATTTAAACACTTGATCAAAAGTATTCCTAGGTCCATCTTGCAAGTGAAATCTTGATCTCAGTGAGGTTCGCATGTGGTTGAATAAATAAAATTAATAAAAAAGAAAACGAGACTAGATAAACTTAGAAAGAGGAAAAGCTTTCACTGTTTGCACTACTGAATTACCTCTTGCTATAAACACAGACCTCCATTTTAACCCTCTGCCAGAACGTATGCGCAGAACAATCAGTGATAAAATCCAAATAAATTAGTTGATGGACAAATAAAATGATCTGTCGGAGCGCGTCTCCATCTTATTTGATGAGGGACTGGCTTAGTGGTCTATTGTGAGGATAATTAAGTATTTGTCATGCAACTCACATGCAACGCCATGTCTCTCTTCCAGCCTACCAGTGTACTGCAGAGCAGACACACCCCTCGCATACGCACACCTCGCTGCATAAAGAAAGTCGAGGAAATCATGAAGCAAAAGGGATTAAATCGAATGCTTCATCTTTGATCTAGCTGATCACAAAGTTTCAATAGTGTGACATCGATTGCAGCCGTCTCAGCTTTTTTAAATCTGTGTTGCGCTCGCACATGCGAACAAAGACACCCCGGACTGGTGCAGAGAGGGGTGGGGGGGTAGGGAACCAGGCCTCAGGGAAGCGGTTTGAAGCTAGTGAGACACCCATGCTGCAAGTAGCGTGGGCACGGTAATCCTGCAACGGGGTCTCGGTTGATTCTGAGATCAACGGGAAAAAAAAAAAAAACGAGGTTGCTTTAAGCCTCACGCGGTCAAAGTTGTTTACCTCTTCGTTACCTCTGACGTCACGACACACCCCTGTTTGAAGGGGCGGTGCCGAGCGTTATGGGCACCGGGGCGAGCCAAACAGATCAGCCCTTGATACCACCGTAGCCAATCAGAACGCAGGACAAACGCCAGACCGGGCTGTGATTGGTTATCGTGGGGGCTGAAGGGAAATCCCTTTTCCTGTAGACGTCCAAGAGAGGAGGTGGGCGGTGCATAACAAAAAAGTAATGGCCATCTATTTGGGTCTCGAAAAAGGAAGCTTAGCCTATTTTTCGTCGGACTGCTGTAGGTGTGTTCGAGTTTTTTGCGTGCTAGCGCGCGCGTTCGGCCGTTAGAGACCCCCGCGTGCGTTTTTGTAGTAAACCTTCGTGTCTCGCGGCTGCAGGGCCGTTGAGTAACTGCCAGAACTTGGCGCCGCGTTTAGGGTTAAAGCAGCCTGCTAGCCACGCTAACGCTAGCTACTACGACCGATGCCGTGTGTGTGTGCGTGTGTGTGCGCGTGTGAGAGTGAAGCCCGTACGAGTTGAACGTTTTGTCTCCAAGTCTCCGCACATTTAGTTCAGGTTTTTTTTTTTTTTTTTTTTAGCGCAGCGCGGTCGTTTGTCCTTTTCTGAGATAACCCACTCTTACTTGAGCAACGCGATGACGGAGACGCACTTTCGACCATGATGTTCAAGACGACGACCAACGACTACTTGAGAGGATTTAAAAGCTAAATCGAGCCTGTTTTCATGGAGAAAAGTTGAGCTGAGGTATGAAACTCGCAGCCACTGGAGGAATGCAAAACTTGAATCTGAATTATTGAGATTATGCTTCTTGCTCGGGAGGCAAAAAGAGCCGCAGATTAACTGCGATGTTGTATCAAAGTGTTTACCTTCGTGTTTGCCTGTCGGCTGCAAAGATTACTTGGGAGTATGTGTGTTGCTGTTGAAAATAGTTCAGTGTTACATAAACAGAGCAACCCCAGGTCAGGTCCGAGGGTAAAGGCACACAGTGACTTGCGACATAACCATTTTTGCCTCTTTTTTCATCTTTTATTAAACAGGATTAGCAACCTGGGAAAACCGAGGAAAGATTTTAAGTCTTACGTATTGTGCAAGGACATGCTGAAACTCCAGGTAAGCTAGCCTCCTTGTCTTACTTAGCAAATCGGACCTGCGTGTTATGAAACTGAAGTCATTTATTAACGTTATCAAATGTGTAACTTGAGTTGATTGTTGGTCCAAATTGTGACGGGTTTTTTCCAGTCTTTAGAGCATTAATTAGAGTGTAAGGTAAAAACGAAACAGTGGTAAATTGATGTTTTGACGCTCCAGATGCCTAAAGGTAAAACCTCTAAACTTGAATTGGAGCAGTACCCCTCTAATCTATTGTGCTTAAATTCTGTTCAAATCCAAAGAGCAACACACATTTTGAATTTTAATACATGTGTACTTATTGCATAATAATTTAAATACAATGCAACTGGTTTGTGGAATATCTTATTTTTCTCCAAATCTATGTTTTTCCACTGCCTAAAGGCAATCTAGTTCCTGTTTTAGTGATGTTTTATTGTCTTTTGCTGGTCTATCATGCACTAGTGTTGTGTCAGCAGGTAAGTTGTCCCATACTGTCAACACAGCATAGATTGTTTGATAGCTTTGTTTTATATTTATGTTAAATAGTACATTGAACCAAAATTTACTGTTGAAATTATTTCCCAGCATTCTTTTTTGTGTGTTATATCTTTTTCTGTTGTATCGTTTTCCCATCAATTTTTAAGGATTGAAGATAAAGGAGAATGATGTCAGAGATGTATTCATTTTTGTCAAATCTTAAAGATAAAGTTAAATCCCCTATGCTGTTGTGAGATATCACACTCAGGGCATGTGTTGTGAATGAGTCTCCGCTACAACCACACCGAATTTTAGCTCAATATCTGTAAATATGACCAAGCACGGACACTTGTTGGTAAAGTGCTGCTTATCCTGCCTCAGCCGCCTGATGGTTTGGCAGAATCTTCTCGGAGCTGATGGAAAGTCTATAAGGCAGGGGTCTGCAACGTACGGCTCTGGAGCCACATGTGGCTCTTTGGTCCCTCTGCAGCGGCTCTTTCAAGCTTTGACCAAAACTGACATGAAACTGAATTTTATTGGTTGTTATAACAACTAAAAGGGCTAGTTTGAGCAGTTTTCCTGTAATTTATTTTGCAAATTTATGAATACTAGAAACATTACAAGGAGTAAAACATACTCACTTTCACTTTATGATTTATTTCTTCAAAGTAGGATATGTAATTTGTCTACAATTAAAAATAAAATCACATAAGAATGCATAGTTTGTTGTTTTAGTTTTTATAAACTGGGTAAAAACTATATTTCCTACAATAATCTCATCTTTTATTTTGTCTTAGAATGTAAAAATATAAAAAAAATTGTTAAAAATCATTAGATAGATTTATTGAACTTTTTTGGATTTTTCTACCTGGATTATTGAGCATGTATCAGGATAGATAGATTTAGTTTTATAAAATCACCCCTACTGTCCATAAAAGTGCCCTCCAACAAACAAAGTGGTCTGTGGGCCACCAGTTGAGAATCCCAGTAGGTATTGTGGCTCCGGACACGTTTAATGTAGTGAACAAAAAGGCAGAAATGGCTCTTTTGATCATAAAGGTTGCAGATTCCTGCTATAAAGCCTGACTGAAGTAACTGCTACCACATCTGAGCTTTAGCCTCAACAACAGCCAGGGCTGCAGACTGGTTGGTCCATCTATAGCCCTCAGCTGCCCCTGGACTCTAATGCCTCTTTTCCATTAGTAACTGTACAGCACGACTCCACTCAGCACGGTTCCAAGGCTTTTCCATTAGTAATGGTATGTAGAACTGGTCCCTTTTTTCAGAACCCTTGGCTCTGTGGTTCCAACCAGGCCGAGCAGGTACCAAAACGTGATGTCATAACACTGTCGGTCACTGATTGGTCGGAGAGGAGTCACTGGATCTTTCAGAAACTTTTCACACCAATCCGCTATTTGCAATTACTCGGAACCCAGAGCAGCGGCTGGACCTTTTTAAAAAAAATATTTTAAAAACAATAATGACAACACCGTGGTCTAATGCTGACGTGCAGGCGTTTTTTGTGCTTGGTGGCCGACGACAAAATTCAGAGCAAGCTAGATGGAGCTCCGCCAGTCCCCCCGGTCCTCTCCCTCAGACCCAGGCCATGCAGGGCGTCATCGCCACTGCTCCAAGCTCCACTGGTCACAGCGGAAGATCCTCCGTGGTGCCGACTCGGGGTTCAGGCTCCGGATCCCGGCCTTGCGTACTCTGGGGGCTCCGAGCTCTGCTGGTCACTGCTTAGGCTCATAAGAGCTGCTGACTCGCAGAAGGCCGTTACCCGGACCCTAGCCTCGTGTAATCATGAAGGCTGAACCCCAATCCCGGCGGAATGGGACAGGTCTGGGACGGACGGTGGAAACTATTTTTAAAAACGTTTTATGTATAAAAAACATGCTTTTTTTTATCAGTGAAGATTAAAAAAAATAAATGGTGCTGGCTTTATCATGAAATCCTGTTGTCACTTTAATGACTTAAATCTGTTAAAAGTTAACTCAGCTGAAAAATCATAAAAAGACACAAAATTATTGGATATTCTGTATACAAGAAACAAAACCACATATTTAATTGAACTATAAAAGTAGATACAATGAGTGCAAATACATCAAATGATGAAGAAAACATAAAAATTTAAATATAAATGTTTTTGTTAAGTCTGCCTCATCAGAGAATTAACAGTGAACTAAAGTTCATTAAAAGTTAATTAGCAGGATTTATGTCTGTGTACGTATATAAATATATATATATTATATATATATATATTTATTTATATATATATTTTTTTATTTATTTATATATTTATTTATATATATATATATATATATATATATATATATATATATATATATAT